TAATCAACATCATTTTCTTGCTACATAAAATTTTGGACCTCAGAAAATCAACCATCCAGAATGGGAAAGTTATAGACCTTGTCTCAGTCATCAAAGACCTCAATCATAAGATCTATTTCTCTATGGTAATTTGTAAACAAGGAACTGGTTTCAAAAACTTGCTTGGAGACTCAATATGTCATCAAGAAGTCCATCCGTACCACTTCCCTGAGTAGTACTCCATGGGTGATTAGCTCCTCATCTACATATGTAATCTCCATTCAGCTCACAGCCCATCCTAGTCTCTATATGCTTTCATGGCCAAATCCTTCATTGCCTATCTTGGAAGAAATCAAAATATTACACGCAAGGCACTTCAATATTCAGAATGGATTGCCTCAAAAGAATCCTTACCTGGATCTGTCAATTTGCCAATTCACGTGCTCTTCCGGAATCATCCCTTTGTATCGCATGTAGTTAGAAGAAGCTATTCAACTTTGACTAGGAAGCAGCTAATATTCTTGTTGTTGATTGAGGAAGCTACTTTCCTATTTTCAATAGGTTTATTTTCATATTTCTAATTTACCGCCTACAAAATCCCTCACCTAGCAATTTTTGGTCTGGTTTTGCTGGAGTCATTTTTCTTGTTTCGGTAGTGTGAGTTATCAAGTGAGTCATGTCAAAATTGATCTTACTCTAAATGAGTTAGCACTTCAACTCGCCTTTTTTGGTAGATTAAGTTAGCACTCAACTCATCACTATCACTTCCAAAACACCAATTTAGCTGGCTTGTTTGAATGCTCTTCTAAATTTTTTTTAGCTCAGGTAAAATCTACAAGTTACGATGCTATGAAATTCATGATTTTTAATTTATGTTTGAGTACTTTTTTCTGCACAATATAATAATGTGAAATAAAATATGAAAAAAATATAAAAATGTATCATTTTATGTACTACTTGTTTTATTAAATTTTTTTAAATGTCACTAGTAATATGAATAATTCAATTGACGTTTTTAACGTTATAACAAAAAGTTATAAGGAGACCGGAAAGGATACCCAACGAAATTATCAAACAAAATCAATATATTTTTCCTTGTTGATAGAGTATAATAGTACTGTTAGGCGATTATTATTGTAATTGACCTTACTTAATGGATAATGCTTCTTGTTTTTGTTGATAATTTGGATAATTATGATAGTGACGTAAAAATGAATGATAGCTATATTAAAGACATTATTTATTTGAAAGAATGACTTGAAATAATTATATAAAAGTAAATGGAGATTGAATTAAAAAGAAAATTTTGGCCCATTAAATGTGTTAAATATACTTGTGCCAATGAAATAATGCCATATACGATGCTTGAGTTCTAATTAAAGGTAATTTGATGATTAACTTTATCAGCAACTTCATGAGAAATTTGAAACCATTTTGGGTCCACACGTCTTTGAAGACCGTTTTGAACCATCAACAGATAAGCATAGATCTCTTTTTTGCAGTGTTATTTCATATTCTTGTATTGTAAGACACCTTTATGATTGCATGGAGTCTGAAAAAGATAAGTTTCGTTTTTTATGATACTTTACATAAATTTATATATTGTGATAGTGACATTATTTATAATTTATCATTATATATTGAAGATATATAATGATGGTGACATTATTTATTTTGTGAGACGTGTTTATGATATTTATTTTTTATATTATTTATGAAGATGCTTATTGTAGAAAAGTTATGTAACAATATGTATGATCAACTAAAATTGATGATCAAAAAATTGTTAGGAACGAGCAAATATTTGAAAATTCAAATCAACTCAACTTTTTTGACGAGTGAAATCCTCGCAAAAGCAGTTTGAGTTAGACTGAGTAACAAAACTACCTATATAACTGCTGAATCGATGTAAACTGATAAATATATATTTAAAACTCAACATGTTTAGTAAAAGATGGCGTGTAATATAGAGTATTCAATTTTCTGTCGTCCAAATTCTCTCTTGTAAATTTTGAGTATTTCCATGCATCAATTTACTTCAACTGTTACTATATATAATAAATCAGTTCTAATTATCTCACTAAAATTAAGGAGAGTAGTTAAATTATTAATATTATCTAAAAAAATAAATATTTTAGTTTACCTTTATTAAATTATGCATCATCTTTAAAATCTCACATATTTCTTGTATACAACCTTTTATTTTATTTTTAGAAAATTAGAAAAGATGAAATTGAAGTAAAAATCATTAATATTTATCTTTTTATACATAGTGATGATTTATAAATGACATTTGCGTAATTAAACAATATGAAGGCCCTAGCTAACATGACATCCACTTTCATCCATTATTTTTAAATAGGCACTTTTTTTATCATGAGATATTGATTCAAAAGATAAACGTTTATAGGAAATAAATGGATTGAAGAGGACCTACATATATTATTGTTTATAATAATGCATATATACTAGATTATACTTAATTATAAAAAAGATGCTGTAACTTACCTCAAGACCATGTGCTATTTCTTTAACAATTTATTTTACTTATCATCATGAGCATCTTTAATTTGAAATTAAAATGCATTTTCGTGAAAAACACAAAATCAAGTCAAAAGAGTTTCTCTCATTTAGGGCCCAGTTCGATTCAAATTTATCATGTCATAATGATTTGTTAAGAGGAAAAAAAAAATCAAGAAGCACTTGGTTACATGGTCATTATCATTCAATGTCATTTGATTAATTATATTTTGACAAGTATTTCAAACATATAGCAGTTTCATTCATTGCTAGCTGGAAAAGGTTTAGCCAGCCAGAACTACTTTGTTCTTATTTTAATTTTGTTCAAATCCAAATAAATTTTAGCATGTAAATATTTTTACTCTTTTTTTTTCAAAATAAACTAAATTCAACTGATTTGTAGAGTGTGTTTGGATATCAGTTGGAGAATTTTGTGACAATTGATTTATAAAATTGATTTTGAATATAATTAAAAAGTAGAATTGAAAAGAGCATTAAAGGCCCTTAGGTGATGTATATTAAGGTTATGAGTTCTAATATGTCTTTTTCTAATGTTCTTTTTGATATCTCAATTTCCAAAATTTTTGGATCATGGATTTTTACATAAACTAAAAGACATTTCAATATTTTGAAGTTCAAAAATGGTAAAGTTTTGTACATTTTTATAATTTTTTTAAAGAAAAATATCATACCCACATCCTTTTACTTTTGAAAAATTATAAAAAAATATAAAATTTCACGGTTCAGACTTCAAGATATCAAATGTCTATTATTTTATGTAAAAGTTAATAAAAAAAATAAAAAAATAAAATTAAAAAGTTAAAACATTATAAAGAGTATTAAAAAAAAGGCACATTAGAGATCCATGACCCTATAAACTTTATTTTATAAATCATAATTTTGGGTTCATAATTGTTTTGGATATAGCAATTAAGTATTTGATATTTTTAACAACTAAAATTATGATTGAGTTTATAATTAATTTTAACATAAAAGTGTCTGGATATATTTTTTATAAAACCATAATTTTAACTTGTGGAGTATATCCATGATTTTTTAAAAAAGAAAATTTGAGGCTCACTTTCTCTCATTGTGGTCCCTAATATGAGATGAAATCTCTTGATTGAGACACTGATTCGTTGTATCATACTAGAAACATAAAAACTAAAAGTTAATGAACTCTTCAATCCCCACAAATTTAGTTTGATCCTGTCAATAAAATCTACAACAACAATAATGACGACGATGATGGCTTTTTGTAGTGGCCAACGTATCAAAGTACTTAAGTCAGTCATGTTTATAATTTTTTTTGTTTTGAGAAATTATTTCAGATGAAAAAAATGTTTGTTAACAAATTTACTCTCTCAGCACTTTCATTGGCTAAATTTACACTTGAGAAAATTAATTTTTTAATCGCATGGCTTAAAGTCTAAATTTAGCAAATAGGTAAGCCATGGATTGACAAATAAGAATGAGCTAAACTATGAATGCCTAGAAGTACAAAACTAAAAAAAATTATTTATACAAAAGGAAGGTTATGATGGACATATTTGGCTGTAGCTTTTGAGAAACAAAAAATTCTTTTAAAAATATTTCAAAAGCCTAAAATATTTGGAATTTTTTTTATTTCAGGAATTTAATTTGCATTTTTTATGAAAGTGTATTTACCAAAAGCTGGTTTGTGTTTATTTTTAAAAGTTACTTTTGGTTTTTGAATAAAATTTATCAAACTGTCTTTTGTTTTTGCCACATTAAACTGTCATTTTACAAAATGTATCCAAACAAAAAACTTGTTACAATTATTTTTCAAAAAAATCATTACAATAACTAATTTTTGTCTTTAATAAATTGAAAATCAAACACACAGTTCAAGAATCTAGATGAATCCATTGTCACCCGCCACATGCACAATATGGTACCATCCTCTCTATTAACATTTTAAACAAAGCTGTCTTAATACGTCTTAGGCCTTGCTTGATAATATGGAATTGTGATTAGAGAAGTGGCAGTGGAACTAAAAATAAGTTGTTTGGTACAATTGATCTTACTTCTCCAAAAATCTGGTTCCATCAAAATTTGTGGAACTCACTTCCATCTTCATAACCATTAAACCCACTTCCTTCTCCTCACTTTTTTCATAAAAAACAACTCACTTCTATGTACATGCCAAACATGTATTAAAACTTCTTTTCCACTTCACTTCCTCTTTCAATTCCACCTCCATCAAAAAGATTTCCATATTACCAAACTGGTCATTAATTCTTGTTAATTGGCATCCATTGTTCATCTTTTCGGCCTCAGTATCAAAATTACTGATGCAGAATATAGTTCTTTGAAAGACAAACGAATTACATATACCAGAAACAAAGCTCACAAAGGCAAAGCTATATGAACCAAACCGAGAATTGTTTCTATGACTTATAAGAAATACAAGTCATTATGGAAGCTTATAATAATTACAATTCTCAGTTTAGACTTCGAAGTAAATTAAATCTCCACATGACAAACTTTTTTACCCTCTTATTATATATGTTTACAAAACCAAACTGCTCACTATATATATATATATGTATATATATATTTCTTTTTTCCCCCTGTATGATCCTCTATACTCAATTTACGCTCACAAGAAAATGAAATTAAACATATAGATGAGGGTATGAATTAACTGCTCTGATGATTCATGCCTTTAATCTCTGGAATTTTCAGCTCGCGAGTGTTTTGTAACGTCTGAAAACGATGATGAAGATCACGGAGGAGGGCCATGGCCTGGTAGGTCAGGCCATTGATTTGCACTCAGAGAAGACGATCCAGCATGAGCGTTATTATGATTACTATTATCATCATCATCATTATGATTATTGCGAGCAATCGCAGAATTGTCTCCAATGGAAGTTGTGCTCACAGTACTCCACAAAGAGTTCTGAGACCACTCATGAAGAGAAGCATAACTGCTATTGTTACCTATCACACTCTTTTGAACCAGTCCTTGATGATGATAATGATCATGATCAGATGCATACAGAGATTCTACCTCCGTGCTTCTGTTTGCCGATTGGAATACCGGCGAGGCCAGAGACGACGAAGCATTGAACCCGGGAGGAAGAAAACCCAGATTAGCAGGAGCAAGATTCAGAGACGACGGACTGAATAATGGTTGAGGTAATGGGTTTTGAGAATGAATCGCGGCCAGAGATGATAGATACCCACCGCCTTGATAGTAGGGATTCATTGAAGGAACCGCCACCGCTGCCGAAGAAGAACGACCGAGGAGAACGCGCGAAGACAACGTTGTCGGATTGGGTTGCATAGAGACCATCTCTTGCAGCCGAGGTTGCAGCTGTGACCGGCCCAGCTGTAAGGTGGCTGACGACGACGACGATGACGACGAAGAACCTTTGTTCCGCTTTCCCTTCCTGCAACCACCTCCGATGGGTATGTTTCGCAAGGATCCACCATGAGTCCAGTACCTTTTACACGTTTTGCAGAAGTAACGAGGCTGCGAGAGGCTATAATTGTTGTAGTAACAGAACTTGGTGTTCACAGAGTCACAGCGAGGGCATCTCTGTGGCGGCGGAGGCTGCGGCTGCGGCTGCGGCTGCGGTGGCTGCTGAAGCTGAGGCTGGTCATTCACGTCTCCACCACGACCTTCTTGACCATTCATCTCTCGATCTCTAACTGTATACCTTATGGGGTTTGTTTATGAACTGTGAATATATGAGTCTTCTTGTGATTGGATTTGGATATATATACACAGAAACGTAAGGTCGGTGATATATGGATATGGAAATGAAGGTGTTAAGAGAAGTGTGAGACTTGTGAGCGTTTCAGATTTCAAAGGGTAATCTATAAGCTCTCTCAGCAACGTGGCTGAAATATGTACTAGAGAGAATCTAATAAACTGACAAAAACAAAAACCACGGCGAGATCATGCATGTTTTAGCAAAAACCACCAAAATATGGTAATCATGACTGATGATGATGACTTTTATGAATATATGTATCTGCAGAGAAATCTGAATCTGAATGAATTCAATAATATCTGTGTAATTAAATATCAATGGATTCTTACAATATCTCACTCCATAATATAAAGTTCAAAGATTATATGATCAAATGAGGAAGGTGTATATGTGGGTTCTGCAACGTGGACGGGTCTGAAAGGGGATGAACTAAATCTGGGTGGAGCAAGAAATGACTGAGAATGGATTCAAAAAGTTCGCAGTTTTCTAATTTTGATTGAAGAGGGAGAATTAATAATCATCCGCACACAACCTGGGAATGAAACTTGTTCTGATGATTCTGTGTGTCGATCCAGAAATGCAATAAGATCCAACGAAACAGAAAGAAGGGAAGTAAACTGAAAAGAGTGTCGAGGAAGGGCCAGTTGCAACAGCGGAAGACGGTGGCGCCAGAGGAGGCAGAAAAGGCCGGTGGTTGGGTGGGTGGCCGGAGTCAATGAAACCGTGGCTATGTCAGAACTGAGAAGTTCTATTCACTTTCTTTCTTTTTCTTCTCTTTTTGATCCTTTTGCTCTCTCTCTCTCTCATCGTTCATTCCACTCCACTTACATTAATTTTTTCTGAAAAATGAAATCAGCAGAAAATTATTATCATTATTATTATTACTATTATTATTATTATTGTTAATTTTTTTATCATCCTGACATCATTGCGTGTTTCTTTTTCCCTCGCGGAATTGAATCCTAGTTCCCACGTAGACCATGATGACCGCACTTGTTTCCCCCTGATTTTCCTTTTTTTCACATTTGACCAGCATTTTCTTCATGAGACCCGAAATTTTCACCTTGAATCAAGGGAGAATGACAATAAATTCCATGGAAATGGATATTGATAAATAAGTACCCCAAGATGCTATAACTAATTAAAGTTCTTGAAGACTTATATTACATTTCTTTTTATGAAATTATGATCCTAAGTAAAATAATAAAATGTATAATTGTTAATATCTAAATTAAAGTTATTAATAAAGAGATAAAGTTATTCATATAAGACAGTACTTGTTTGTTTAAATATACAGTAACAATTATGTTTTTTATATTAACAATTTTAATTTAAATAACAGTTAGCCATAACTTTAGTTTAGTCATACAATAACAAATACACTTTTTATATCAATAACTTTACCTTTGTTATTAACAATTTTAGTTTATTTTAAATTATCAACAATTTTGGTTTTAACAACTATGCTTTATAGTATTTTAACAATTATGCTTTACATTATTTTGTAAAGGGTTATAAATGTAAATTTTTCAAAACAATTTACGACATATAAGTTCATAGATACTTTGGAGTAATTACTCCATTTCATTTTATTATTTTGTCGGTTGCCTATTTCAAGAGGACTTATTTATCATTTTTTCTTAATCAATGACGGTTAGGACTTAAATGTCAGATGAAATTTTTTTAAAAAATGGTTTAAAATATTAATTCAATAATTATAAATTTAAGAGTTTTAACTGTAGATAATGTATTTAAATTTTAAATGAAACTCTCATATTGTAAATGAGATTTCTGATTGTAATAATTAAAATCAATATTTGCAATTATTTTATTAAAAAAATTTGTCATAAACACAGCTATCATTAATTTAAATTTTTGAAACTTAACTATCATTGATCCCTTTCTTTTCTGGACATTCCTTTACTATCATTAGTATATTGTATTCATCGATAAAAATTTTGTTTGATACATAAAAAAAGAATTTTTTAATAAAAAATGAGAAAAACAATTAAAAGAAAATGAGATAAACGTATTATTTTCACTTTTTTTTCAAAATACTTTTCTACCTACTAAAATTTTATAATAAAATTTATGTTGCTATGGCAAGAATTTTACCACGTGCCTCGTTCAGCGTTTAAGTTATCTTTCCAGAAAGAAGATAGCTCTTAGTATATTTTAAATTGTAGGATAATGTACTTTTGGCTATACAATTTTATATAAAATTTTAGTTTAATTTTTTAATTTTATAAAGTATCTTCAGTCATTAATCTTAACACCATTAGTTTTAAATAATTTTTTCCCAATCCTATTGAATAAGGGTAGGAGGATTACTAGCTCTGCTGGCTTAATTATTATTAGTTCATAAAAGCTTGATAGAGACTAATTTTACTGGAATCCCTTTAGCTCAAGTAGAAGTTGGGTAGAAGTGCCCAGCTCATGGTTGGCGATGAAGCTCAATGTAGATGGCTTTGTATAAGGCCATCTTAGACATGCCGAGTGTGGAGGGTTATTTCATAATGAAGAAGGGATAGGGGTGGATGGCTACAGGTTATATGTGCAATTTGGGACACCGTTCTCCATTAGAGGCTGAATTGTGAAGCATTTATCATGGGTTCAAAGTTACAAAAGCTAAGATATGAATTTCAAGAATCTTATCGTGGAGAGTGACTCGACAACTATTTGTCAACTTCTTCAATCCTTTTTTGACTCAGGACAAACAAATTATACTAGCAACTTTGGCATGGTGTCAAGTTTAATTTCTTAATTCTAATGTTGATGTTGTGGTTAGGCATACCCTCAGAGAAGGTAATAGATGTGTAGATTGGCCTGTGAAGAAGATTGTGGATTACCTTGACAATTGCCTTACTCTTGAAATACCTTTGAAGGAGCTTGTTCCTTTGTTGCATCGAGATTCCATGAAGGTATTAGTTTGTCGTTTTTTGTCTTAGTGTTCCAGTTGTGTGAGCTTTACCCATTTTCCTATCAAAATGTCAATCATTATTATTTAAAAAAAAACTTAGTATAACAACATTTGACAATGTATATTTCAATATTTGAAAGTTCAATAATTTTTTTTATTCATGAAACTAAAGGTGTTATGGTTATAAGATTAAAAAGACACTTTATAAAATTAAATTATTAAAAAAATATCATGTAAAGTTAACTAAAGAATTAAATTTGGGGTATTCACGAGATAGAATAAGAATAGAATAGTGCTATTCTGTGTCCCACATGTCGAAAAATGAATGAGGCTAACTAGGATATCCCAATAAAGCAGATAAAAATAAAAGAGAGACATGAATAATAACATTTAGTAAATCACATAAATTTCTAAATCCAACAAAAAAATAACATGAGTACATAAATTCGATCCTCAAGTTACAGCAACTATAACTTAAAGTGAAAAAAACACAAATACGATAACTAAAATTTAAAGTTGAGCTCACTACAATCACAAATAACCTTTAGATTGCAAGAAATTATTATAAGAACAACTGAATCACAGAGTTATATAATTTAAGTGAACATGTGGTTACGTAAATAGAAAATAAAATAAATAAGAAAAATGTATACTTTGATCCTAACTAAACAAATAAAGTATTAAATATGAAGAAAAAAACAAAAAATAGAATAATATATTTGAGATGGAACTAGATATCTTAATGGTGATCCTATATCCTGTCCAGAACATGTTTTTATCTCGTTGTGAAAACTTTTTTTTTTTTTGTAGGCCTGTCAAGATAGACCCATCCCAATCATCGGATGACCAAGATTGGAATAACTATGAACACCCTTAGATTACATATGCACTTTAACTTAAATTCTATAATTTTTTATTTTAAATTTATTTAAATCAAATTTAAAATATATTTATTAAAATTATGTATGTATGTATGTATGTATGTATGTGTATGTATGTATGTATATGTATATGTATATGTATATGTATATGTATACAACCGGCATTATTCATGGTTTATAAATAATTGAACTTTTCTATCTAATTTATTATTTACTGGCTCAACACAGAGCGGGTCAACTGCATTGGATATATGCTTTTCTTTATTATATTATTATTTTTCCTTCTAATTCATTTATAAATTTTATCCAATTTACAATTACATTTTGAACGTTTCTTATAATTTTATTAAAATTCATGAATAGAACTTTCTTAACAAACAATTAATTGTCTGTCATAATGCATGAAAAAAAATATTTTTTATTTAAAATTTATGATTAATTATTAAAGTCCAAATAAATTTTATTTTAGTCTATGTTATTGTTTTATCTTTAATTTATTTTAATTTATAAGTTAATTTTATTTTTTATTTATACTTTTATCATTTTTATTGAAATATATAATAAATCTTCAAATTATGGTAATTTATAATAAATTAATATGAACAAAATTCGACAAATAATCATGAAATTTTAACAACGAATGAAAAATTTATACACTTTAAGCATCTAGTTCAAAAGAGCTAGCTAAACCATAATGGTCAAATAAAAATTGAACATATGTAATTAAAGAAATAAAAAATATGGTATTTTCTTTGTTAATATCTTGGGGTAAATACATTTTCATCAACACCATCAACTTTTAACTATAACCACATCACCTGGTATATTGACACTGACAATTGGAAGTAGAGGATATTGAGGAGAGGACAGGAAAGGAGAGAAATGATTTGAAAAAATGTACTACATCTTAGAAAAAAAATGATAGTAATATAGAAAATTTATATGCTTGTTAATAGACCAAAGAAGATGGATTCCGTATTTAGTTTTCAGTTTACAGTTAATAAATGTTCATTTGGAGGATTTAACTATTTCTTGAATTTGGCAAAAATATATTCTAAATATGGTTTAAATGTACTTTTAAAGGTTACCCAAACAAACTTAAAGTCATTGTTTTTTTTTTGTTATTAAGAATATATTATATGCTAATAGTTAAGGTTAATTCTTTTCTAAGCATAGACATCACATAAGCAAGCTATTGCCCCTCTTTATCACTAATTTCTAAGCATTGCCCCTCTTTATAAGATTTTTTTTTAATATGTGTGTGTAGTTATGAATCGAATTCTTAACACATACTAATGACGCTCAAACCGCTACCTTGTTACAAAAGCAGCTTGATTTAACTTATTAACTTGTTTTGGATCATTTTGAACCAAATGGTTTTGACAAAACTAGAATTAAATCGGAACTCTGAATTATTGGACCATTTTGAACCATTTTTACTGTTATTTTAGTAATAAAATTTGTTATTTATTTTAAAAATATTAATGTCCACTTTCTTCTGAGTAGTTACAACAAAATTTTTGGTGCATGATTTGTTTGTTGATATTATATAAATTGAACTGTAGAGAAAATTGAAAACTCATTTGCTTTAAGGGGACAAATAAGGTAATTAAATAGAAAATATAATTGTGAAAAAATTGAAGAAATTAAAACTTAATATGAGATGGCTTTCATGCCCAAAAAATATGTTATGGTTAAAACTTTAAACTAGGAATAATATTGTCAGTATTTTTAAAGTTTTATTTATATATACACTTACAAATATATATTATTTTTTATTTAACCATTATGTCATGAGAAGATTTAACTAATTAAACAATTGATGACTTTTATGATTTATCATGTGGTTCAGTTTTTAAAACATTACTTAAATCACTACTAAAAAAAAAATTGACTTTCAGTGGCAACTGTCAAT